TCGTGGACATAAATATGTCACATTTAGCTGTAAGTTTTGTAAAACAAAGAACATATTGATAAGCTAAATGCAAAAACATTGAAACTTTATTTAAATAGAATTTTATTATTATTATTATAACAGATATTTTATACTCATGTTGTTGAGTATATTATGTCGACAGTCTTCATCAGTAAAAATTTACAAAACAGACAAACGAGGGTATATCATTATTATTATTCTCTTCGATTCCGAGTGGAAAATAAGGCTTTGACAGAAAATCTACACTTTTTCCTATTCTCTGTGGTCCTATTTTGCTGGCCACACGTCTGTCGATTGTCTATCATCTCCCACTCACACCACCTCGCCCACGTCACCCTCAGACATACACCCAACTTATCATTTCCTATTGGGGTTCTACTCGAGTGATAACCTGGTGCGCAATGCCAGCTGGCGGTTTCCTCACCAGGTGTCCCATGCATCTCCATCTTCTTCGGTATATTTCTTGAGTAACAGATTCTTGGTTGGTTCATTCCCTGTGTCATCTTACTACTAACTGTTTCTTGCCATCCGATCTTAAATATTGAACCATAGAAGGTAGGTGCTGATGGAATTCTGGATGCGCCAATTTCCAGACCGATATACAAGAACTGAATGACTAAACATTGCTGTTAAGAATCCGAATTTCATACTCTATGTTGATTTCACAAATATGCAGGAGAAAGTGAAGATGGATTGGACACTCGCTGAGGAGGCCACTGGGTGACATCGCACGTCAGGCCCCCGAGTGGAAGCAGCGAGTGGGACATCCAAGGGTGACATGGAGTAGATCGTGTGAAGAGGAGTTGAAAAAGTATGGATTAACATGGATGCAGGTATAAAGTACAGCAGAAGACAGAAGCAAGTGGAGACGTATAGTTGAAGCCCTATGTTCCATTAGGAACCCAAGGGAACAATAATAAATAATAATAATGTTGATTGCAGCAAATCTCCAAACTGATTCCACAGTGATAGACGTCTGCCTTGCCTTTCCGATTCTGTCCGAATTTGACATCCTCATCCATGCCGACTGCTTGTAGTTGAAACGATGCTGCCCGGCCGGATAAGTGAAGGAAGTGATCTCTTTTTGGCTGGAATCTCTCCCAGTTGATGATGATGATGATTGGTGTGTGTGTGTTACAACACTTTTGCTCAAGCCTTGTATACTTTCTAGTCACATTAAGAGATGAATTCTATTGTAAAAGCTAAAATGAAGCGACAGGCGTTAAAATCTTCTGAAATGGAAATAGAACATTGATATACTATCACAGTAATAAATAAAAAACAACAACATGAATATACCTACGTGGCCGAGTTTGATTCTGTACTGTATTCCTTTAAGTCTACAAGTCTCCTACAATTTGTTAATTCTCGCATCCTGCCTATTATTCTCTATTGTTCCCCCTTAGTTTTTCCCGGGCTACTGAAGAAAGACTATAACATATTACGCAGGATATAAAAGGTTGTCAGCAGGGTAAGCAATGTACCACTTAACCAGCTTGTTAATATTCTGGTTAACAGGCACATGGACTCATGTGAAAAATGGGCTAAATCCGTTTTATCTAACTCAGTCCACCCTCTTCATTCACAAATCTTCCCTTGCATCTCATCAGGCAAAACCAGAAGCCTATATAGAAAACTATATGCTCGCACCAGCAAGTACAAAAACTCAACCATACCCTACTTAGCTCGTGTTTTGTGAGATAAAGAAAGCATTAGGCGTGACACCTATAACTTATTAAATAGTCAGTAGAATAACTGGATCTCGTCTTTCCGACTCATATCATTTATAGGTACAACATTTTCTTTCTTTCTTTTCCTTTTCTCTCTCTCTTTTTTCCGTTGTGTGCTGCTTTGTTTCTTTCTCTCGCTTACGCCAGTTAATAAGACAGCTCCAACTTTTCTAACACCTTCAAACACTATTTCAGCTTTACCTTTGCTACTGACATGCCAATGTATTGTTGTAATAATGAACTGTGGTTTCCTTAATCTATGTAGAATTCTATTTATTGATAATGTACTAACTGGATGCAATACTGTAGTAAAAATGCTGAGAATTCCATTCTGTATCACAAGTACTGTTTTGGAATAAAGCAAATTATTATTATTATTAAGTCTACAACAGCTCATTTAGTGATTTGTTTTATCCAGCCCTGTCTGACAATGAACATGTCGTT